GGAACAAAGATGCCTAGCTTTTCTTCCCAGTAAAGGTGTGTGATCTTCAGTAATTCACTTAACCTCCCTGTACCTCAATTTATTCATTTATAAAATGGGGTAATAACTACTTAATAAGAGTGCTGTGGTTTAGTATTTAGAATGCACTACAACTACTAAGAAATCTTCACAATACCCCAGTGAAGCAAGTACATTGTTTTCCCATTTTACTTAGGGGTAGAATAAGACTTAGTGTGGTGAAAAAACTTGCCAAAGGCCACAGAGAGAGTTTTGATTTCTAAACCTATTTTCAAATCACTTACCACTCTTTATTTATTAATGGCCATAAACCACTTAAAGTTCCTATGATGAAATAGCAGCTTATTGTTACTACCTATGCTGTAAAATACACTATACTATTTATATATCTGATCAATGAACTTTAATTTTGTGTGTGTGTGTGTGTGTGTGTGTGTGTGTGTATACACACACACACGAGGTTTTTAATGTTTTTAATGGAAGAGATACAGCTCTTTCAGTGGCAGCTATTGGGACCTGGGACTATGCCTTATTGGCATCTAATTACCAGCACTTGCTGTAGAGTACATAGGAAAGGAACATTTATTGTTTAAGCTTTTGATTCTTGTCTGCGTAGTTTTTCCTTTTGGAGAAAATTTTGTCAAAACACCTGGATTTCTTGAAAAAGGTGTCAATGTTTTTTGTTAGCCTGATATTGTGAGCATTCACTGACATATTAGTCAGGGTTGGGTGAAATAGTAACACTGCTATCGTAAAGATGTAACCCTTACTATCTGTTGCTAACAAGCTTATTTTGGAAATGGTTCCTTGCACCTGCTCTGCAAGATATGAGTGGATACTTGTTTTCTGATAAAGTTTAAGAATGCAGTCTTGGTTATCTGTAACCTCAACTGATGTTATAGGGCATCTATCTTGGAGCGGGGGGAGGAAATACATAGGTTCTTTTTATATCAGCAGTGCTCACATTTTACATGGCCAGTGGGTTTCCCATTAATTATGAAAAGTACATTAAGTCTCAGTCCTTTCATCTTAAGGATGCAAGGGGCTGTCTGACCTTGCATCATGTTGAAGAGCACAGGAGATAAGAAAACTGGCTGGTGACTCTTTTCTCTGAAGTGCTGCTGTAATTGATAGCTATTCTGTTCTCTAATATGGCATTGCAGGGGCATGGAAATCCTGGACTTTGCATCCTGTGTATCTTGTACAGAAGTTTGGTTTACTGCCAGGAGGGTGGACTTGAAGGAGCTAGTGGTAGAGCTATACTTTCTGGTAAAACTTTGGGCTGATTCTGATGATGTTTACACCAATGTAAATGAGAACATACTCAGTTCAATGATTTTGACAATAATGTATATAAATAGTATAAGTGAGAGGAGAATTGGCTCCTGAGGCAGGAACTGTAGAGATACCAGTGGGTGTAGTTTTTGGGGAAGCAACTTTGACTAATGATTTAAGTAGTAAAATCGGGATCAGGAGTCTTGCTCGTGGTCATACAAAAGAGCTAACAGTCACTTCTCTTTTGAGTCCCATCCTCTATAAAGTAGAAATAATCCTACTCTGTATTTGTAAAGAATTTTGAGATTCTTGGGCAAATGGTGATATATTATTCTTATGTCATTTGTTGGTTTACGCTGTGGAACTAGTCATCACCTTTGGTTTATTCTGGGTTATTTTCTTTTGTAAATGGGGACGTCTGTTTTTTGGGATGGTAGCAAGATGCTAAGGAGCTTTGGGGTTGTAACAAAAAATGTTTGGACTTGGCTTTCCTTTCCTAAGAAGTCTACAGACTTACTGTCTCACAGCTTCCTTATTGTCTGTCTCATGGACTTACCTTTGACGTAGCTGTCATTCTGCCTTCCGACAAGTCAGCAATCTGGTTTTAATTGTTTTCTCAGAGACTTGCATATTGGAGCAGTGTTTTTAAGCTTGTATAACTTATTGGGTAACTAAAGATTTTTGCTCCAAAGCCCACAGTTAATAAGGGGAGCCTGACAAAAAGGGTACTGCACCTGCCTATAATTGTGTGCTCAGTCTTTGGCTTCATTTGTCAAGGAGCACTCAGTCCCACTGTTTTCATGGAAACTGGAGCTATTGAATCGGCAGTATTCCAGATGTGAGCATACCATAGATTTATATAGAGGCAATATGGTATTTTCTCTTATCCCTTTTCTAATGGCACCTAACATTGTTAGCTTTTTCACTGCTGCTGCACATTGAGTGGAACTGTCCACAATGACTCCAAGATCTTTCTTGAGAGATAACAGGTAATTTAGACTCCATCATTTTGTATGTATTGTTTGGATTATGTTTTCCAACATGCATTATGTTGCATTTATCAGCATTGAATTTCATCTGCCATTTTGTTGCTCAGTTGCACTGTTTTGTGAAATCTCATTTGTAACTCTTTGCAGTCTGCTTTGAATTTAATTATCTTGAGTCATTTTGCCATCTGCAAATTTTGCCACTTCATTGTTTACCCCTTTTTCCAGATCATTTATGAATATGTTGAACAGTAATGATCCAAATACAGACCCTAAGAGGACACCACTATTTACTTCTCTCTCTTGTGGAAGCTGTCCATTTTTATTCCTACTTTTTCCTGTTCTTTGTTTCCTATCATTTAAACAGTTACTGATCCATGAAATTTCCCTGTTATCTCATGATGTTAGGGATGTTGTCGTAGACTCTCTGAGTTACAGTGTCACTAGATCACCCTTGTCCATTTGTTTCTTGGCTTTCCTCAAAGAGTCTAGACAGCCGTGGCCAACTCGTGGCTTGCACGCTGCATGTGGCTCTTGCCCCCCAAAAGTGAGGCTCGCAAAGCCACTCCTGCGTGTCCCGCCCCCTGCTGGCTCTCCCCTATCCCCTGGCTTCCCTGTGCTTACCAGTTTGGAGCTGCGGGGTTTTAAAAATGGTGCCCAAGATGGAGGCCATCTTAAAGGGACAGCCTCCTTTCAAAATAAAATATATATATATATATATATTTAACTTTTTTTGGTTTTGCTCAACAGTTCTCTTCTGGGGAGAAGGGGATTGTTGTTGTTTTTTAAAGCTTGACAATTCTGGTGCAACTCTTCGCATTTTTTCCACTGCTGTTTTGGCTGTCTTTGTTAAATGGGTTGGCCACCCCTGGTCTAGTAGATTGGTGAGGCATGATTTCCCTTTACAAAAGCCATCTTGACACTTTTCCCCAACATATCATGTTCATCTATGTGTCTGGATGATCCCTTTCTTTAGTCTCCACCAGTTTGCCTAGTACTGAATTTAGTCTCACTGGCCTGTAATTGTCATGATTTCTTCTGGAGCCTTTTTTTTTTAAAAAAAAACCTTGGTGTGGCATTAGGTGTTGGCTAATCATCTGTCAGTAGTTGATTAAATAATAGGTTACATACCTCAGTTGTTATCTCTGTAAATTCATATTTCAGTTGCTTCAGAACTCTGAGATGAAAACCATCTGTTCCTGGAGACTTATTGTTAAATGTATTTGTTTGTTCCAAAACCACCTCTAATGACACCTCAATCTGGGACAGTCCCTCAGATTTGTCACCTAAAAAGAATGGCTCAGGTTTGGGAATCTCTCTGCAGTGAAGGCTTATCCAAAGAATGAATGTAATTTCTCTGTGATACCTTGAGTGCTTCTTTAGCATTCAGTGCTAAAATCCAGTGCCCCCGCCCCTCCCCCGGTGGTTTTGGGGTCTTTCTGCTTCTGAATGCATTTTTCAAAAAAAAAAAAAATGTCTGTTACTTTTTGAGTCTTTATAGCTTGTTGCTTTTCAGATTCTTTTTTGGGCTGTCTAATTATATCTTTTACGCTTGACTTTTGCCAAAGTTTATGTAGCTTGCTGTTTTCCTCAATAGCATTTAATCTCCGGTTTTTAAAGGATGCTTTTGGTCTCGGACAGCTTCTTTTAATTTGTATAGCCATGGTGGCACTTTTTAGTCCTCTTACTACAGTATGTATTTTGATTTGGGACATACATTTAATTTTGAGCTTCTATTAGGGTATTTTTCCATGTAGCTTGTAGGCATTTCACTTTTGGGTCTGTACCTTTTTAAATTTCTGTTCAGCTAGCTTCCACACTTTTGTATAGTTCCCCTTGTTTAAATTAAATGCTACTGAGGTGGGCTGCTGTGGTGTTTCTCTCCATCCCCTCTCCCCCCAACAAGATACTTAAATTCAATTATGTTATGGTTGCTCTTATAAAATGGTCAGCTATATTCATCCATATTCAGATCTTGTGCTCCACTTAGGACAAAATCAAGAATTGCCTCTTCTCTTGTGGTTTCCAGCACTAGCTACTCCAAGAAAGTAATTTATGATGTCAAGAAACTGTCATGTAGCCCAACTCATGTAAGCAACTTTTACTGTAACTTGAGCTGTCCTTGTAATTTATAATTACATGTAATTTTTCAAACATAGGTGACATGTTTTTAATATTGGGACATAAAAATCAAGATGAAAATCTGACAAAACATTTGGTTATTATAATAGCATAATTTTCTAGCAATTTCTCAATTTGAATTTGTGCACGAGTCACTAAATGCTTTATTGTCCTTAAAGTGTTGCCATACCATGACCCCCTGCTTTCATTCTTTGGTATTGCCTATCTTGATGCTCATAGCTTACAGATTCAGTGCAGTTTGAGGGTCTGGTAGCACCAGTTCTGTGAAGGGGCAATACAGCATGTGTAGTGATTTTGCTGCACTGAAAATTTACCCCTTTCCATCCATATATAATACTAGTCACTAATGCCGGAATGAAAAATCCTGAAAAGGATGCATTGATCAAAGAGAACCAGTCTTGACTCTCCATCGATACAAAGAGAAGCTTTGCAAGTTATCAGCTGAGCAGATATACCTCTAGCCAAGATGAAAAGTTCTATTTCAGGGACTGCCAAGTCCTTAAAGAAACTTCGTTGAGTTCATGTACCTTCTCTAGACTTCAGCGTTATATTTATTATGTCTTATCATCTGAATGGCAGGCAACCCAAAGTTATGTTGACGAATATCCTGAGGACAGAAATAGGAAGAAAATATACACAGAGCCTGCTTAAAACTGATGCTAATTTATCTGCTGTTGACAAGTTGCAAACAGATCGACCAACCTCATCATCCGTTGCCAGCCTAGAGATATTGCAAATATTAAGTCCTCCTCTCCAAAGCCTTTTTATATCCAAAAGGTATGTTGTTCAATTCTAATTAAGTCTTAACATCCTGGACCTTAGCTTCATGTGACTAAAACTAATAATAATTTATTTTTAATTGTTTTTTGTGGAAGTATTTCTTGTTACATTATAGGTGTTACTTGTTGTCTTGATCACAAGCCTTTTTCTTGTGACTGTCACTTTGGATCATATTGCTTGAGTGCCTGTACCAACCGCTGTCTTGGATTTCTAATGAGCTGGTGTTTAACTGGTCCTGAATGGACAAGCATGATTAATTCTGGTCCAGCTTATTGGGCTCTCTTAGATGGATGTTTTTCATCACCCCTGTGAAATACATTGACGTCTAACTGTCCCTCTAGAAAAAGAAATCTACTGTTCTTTATTGGATTTTTGACACTCTTCCAAGTTATACTCATCGCAGATTACTCATGGGCTAACTTGGGCAACTTGATAACTGCTCTGCAAACAGAAAGGCTCCCTTGAAAGAACTTTGTACCTCTCAGCATAACAAAGGAGAAAGAAAGACATCAGACACCATATGCTATGCTGGAAAGTGACTAATATGATTCAATTCAATAAGACAGAGGGAGATGCTTTCAAGGCTTATGTAGAATACAGCATCATTTATACCTAATTCAGAAAAGGTTGTGGCTGTACATCATCTGAAAGAAATGGGAACTGTGGCGTGTGCTCATCAGAGTTTGAGGGAAGAAGCCATTAGCCATGCAAGACAACAAATTGACTGATTGCACATGTTAAGTACCTGGATAGTCTTGTACATTTGAACCATTGGTAAAATGTATGTTGTCATCTCTTGATGTTTTTGATTGACTTAATTTTGGTGCTCATCTCTCCTGACACATGTTCTTCTCAGTCTTACAATCACCTGATCTGTGACAGAGTAATGCCTGGGAGTTGTGATGAAGGATCAGAATTAATTACATAGTTCATTACATGCTTAAACGTATAGTCATGGCTAGAGGTGTAAGTGAACGACACTGATTGACAATAAGATTTGTTTTATTGCAGACATCCTAATTCTAGGAGAATTTTTAAGATCATTCTGTAATTCTATTGGTACTGAAATTTTGCATGGAAGTTATTCTGGGATAAATTTCATGTGAATAGAAAATGTTAAATCCTCTGAGATGGCAAAGACAGGCTACATGAAACAATATGCTAATATACTGTAGCTGAACTAAAGTTACATCGTTTTCACCCTTGTCTCCTCTTGACTACCCAACTTTCCACCCGTGGTCTGTTGTCATTGTTCTTTGTGTTAGCTACCTGACCTAAATTTTAAGAGTCTTGATGGAGAGAACTTATGTCTGTAAAAGACCATGAACAGTTATTGGTAATGATTTGGTTTACCAAGTCACTTACTTAGTTACATGAATTCAGCCAAAAATTTCTTATCTAGATTTCAGTGCAGCATTTACCATTTATTGTTATATGTATGGCAGGCAACCCAAAGTTATTTTGAAGAATGTCCTGAGGACGAAAATTGGAAGAAAATACATAAAGAAACAGCTTATAACAGATGCTAATTTATCTGATGCTGACAAGTTGCTATCAGGTCAACCAACTTCATCTATTGCCAACCTGCAGACATGTCATATATTAAGTCCTCCTCATCAAAGCCCTTTTATATCTAAAAGGTATGTTCTTCAGTATTGATTTGTTAGCCTTGTTCTTTCTGAAACAACATGACATGGAAAAATAACTTCTGTGAAACTGTTTTCATGAGAATCTGACGTGAAGCAATGGTTGAATTACCTCAGTGCAAACATACTTTCAACAACCCATCATTTTTAACATTAAATTACACTGATTCTTTCTGCATCTGACATTAATTGGACACCTTTTGTGGCTAAGAAGTTAGATTTGAAATAGAACAATGTTCTGTTTGTAGATATGATTACAAGTTTCTAATATGATTATATTGGTTTGAACTTTCCTGTGATGTGCTTGCTTGGTTCTAGGTTTTCTTTGACCAGTTGCTCAAAGCACTTGTATATGCATGTCCTATTGCTCTTCCTAAATCCACATCTGGTTTCAACCCCTTCACCAGCTTGTAGCAATCTCATGACTACCTCTCTCATTGCTTTACATCTTTATTCTTCTTATTTTCATGTTTACGTAGACTTTAGAAGTACAAAAATGCTTTGTGTGTAGAATTAGCTGTAGAAATAAAGCTGACAAGGATTACATAATGTAAGTTTCATTCTGAATTTGCGAAGTGAATTACTTGGTCTCTCCCCCTGTATGTTGATGTCTCTGCTGTAAAAGTAAAACAGTGTCAGGAACAAAGTGGTGGGGGAAGAAGAGAGAGAAATAGATAAAGGTTATAACTACACAGCAGCTGGGAGGTATGATTCCCAGCTCAGATAGACCTAGATCCATTAGTTATGCAAAAGTTAGTGTCTGAAAATAGCAACATGACGATGGCAGCTCAGATTAGCCATCAGTATCATATGTGCATTTTTAATGGATTAGACTCCAAGATACTTAAATTTATAAGGTTTTCATAGGATTGAGCAGGAATTTTGTCGTATCAGTCACAATTAGCATAAACAAGTTGATGCTTTGTAAAGGCAATGCAAAATGACAGGTGAAGTGTATTAAACTGAGATGAAAGAACTTCAGAACAAGTTTTTAGAGGAGAATGGAGGTAGCTGTATGTTAAAAATAAGTTTATTCAAGTCAAGTATGAACATGTTTTTCTGTATCTTCTCCAGTTACAAACTGTTTCTCTGATTGCTTCTTGTAGCAAGGTTTCTTTGTTTGAGGAATTCATTTCTCATATTTATATTACTTTTAATGATAAGTAAGTGCAGACAGGACTGCTTACACATCTTACTACAGGTTGGACCTCCCTAGTCTGGATTCCTTGGGACCTGACCAGTCCCAAGCAAGGGAGTGTGCCGGACCAGGGATGGTCAATTCCAGTCCCTCTGCTGCCAGCATCTGGGCTCTCCTCAGGGGCTGCCGGGCTCCTGACCAAGCTACTCCTCAGAGCCACTGACCCTGCTGCGCTTACTCTGGCCTTGCTTCCTGCCCCCTGTTGCTGGAGTGGCTCTGCTCCTGGCCCCCTGGCTGGGTTCTAGACCGCTGGTGCCTTGGCCACTGGACTGGCTCTACTTCCATCTGTATTCCTAGCCACTGTCCGCTCTACAACAGGACTCCCGGATGGCTTCTGCTTCCAGTCACTGGGCTCTCTAGTCCAATAGCTTTCTGCTCCAACAACATCCACAGTCCTGCTGGTCCCTGAGCGTTGGCAGACCAGAGAGTCCCAGACCAGAGAGGTTCAAACTGTAGTGAACTGACTATTATAGACACATTCAGTTTGATTCTTGTCTTCAAACTCTTCCTTAGTTTTGTATAGGATACCTTTGGGACCTGATTTTCCTTTACACAAAGGCCCATTTACACAGATCTGGCCAGGGCTGACCCACAACATTTTGACATCTGAGGCGGGGAGCTCAAATGACGCCCCCATGTCCCCTCGCTGCACCAGCAGCAGACACAATTTTCTATACTCTGGGTCCTAGTGGTGCCCTCCCTTACTCCCCTCTTCCCCCCACACACAGTCTGGCTCCTGAGATGGCTGCCTCAGTTTGCCTCATGGTAAGGCCAGCTCTGGATCTGGCAGAATAGCAAGGCCTTTATAGTGAGTTCAAATATATGTATATCCACGTTAAGGTCCCTTGGAATGAACAGAGCAGTGAATAAGGGCCTCGGTATAAATGAAAATCATGCCTTTGGTATAGAAAAAGTATCCCGTTTTGTACTGTGGATGAATATATATTTTAATTTATAATACACTAGAAGATTTACTCGGTGTTGCTAAGGTCCTTAACTCAAATAAGTCTTGTTTTTCTTCATTTAAATTATTGTTAATGAGTAGGTGTGGGAATGAGGAGTTCAGTATGAAGGCTGCCCCAGGGGGAGAGAACAATCCCAGCCATCCTCATTGCAGTAGCTTGAGGCCAGGTGAGAGCACCTGTCCCTGACCACTGCAGCAGCAGCGGGCACAGCTGGGGTGTGGGACAGATAGACACACAAACTCACTCTCTGAAATAGTAAGTCC